GGTTTTGAATTTTCAAGATCGATTCAGAACTGCGGGCTAAAACGTGGACAAAAAATTTTTCACTTTTCTGCTATTTACAAAGAAACGGCTTGGCTGATCGTCGCGCAAAATTGATAAACGCTAGTCTTCATCGAGATACATCGAATGGCTTTTAAATTTTTGAAATCGGTCCAGCCATTATTGAGAAAACGTCGATTTACGGAAAAAAATCTGTTCACACACACACATGCTTTTTCCAAATTTGGTCTGATTCGATTCAGAATGGCTTGAAACGTGGAGATAACATAAAATTAGCGAATCGTATTTTTTGATGAAAACATAAACTCCTCCTTCGGGAAGTTAACAATTGCCCATCTATCCTTTACCCAGGTGTGCCTCGTCTTCTGCTCCAATTTCTGCAAGTTGTTGCTGTTTGGCAACCAGGGAGTCCAATAGTCGTCACTTTTGGAGCAAGAATAAATGGAGCAGCAGAGCCAAGCAGCATGCCTCCAATAAAAATGAGAAGATTCTGAGGGCTCTCAGCAAGGAAAAGGTGTCTCAGGAGGATGCTGAGGCTGCTGCAGCAATGGCCAGCTGCGAAGGCATCAGAGATGGTAAATGAATGATAGATGGTAAAATCACCAGTAAGATGGTTATTGATGCATGATTGATGTTTTTAGAGCAACAACAGAAGATTTTTCACAATTATGGAGCAATGCACAAGTTGGAGAAGTACTTGTCCTTCAGAAAAGTATCCAAGTAAGTATTAATATTCAACAGAATGTGGAATTAGATATTAGTTTAATTTTGAAGTAAAGCTTCTAATGCAACTTCCAATAAGGTTGCGCTAAACGTTCAGGGAAAAGTATAATGTTGTAGGATTTGTGAAACTGTTTTAAAAGTTGTCTGGTTTTGTGAAAATGTTGTAAGTTGTCGGACAATGTTGTAAGTTGTCTGAAAATGTTGTAGATTGCCTACAAATGTTATAATAGTCTGGCAGTTTTGTACATTGTCGTTTGAAATTGTCGGAAGATGTAAATTGTCTAAAAATGTTGCAGATTATCTGAAAGTATTGTAAGTTGTCTGAAAAGATTTTGGATTGTGTGGTAAGTTCTAAGTTATCTGACAATGTTCTTAGCTGTCGGACAATATTCTTAGTTGTCTAAAAGTGTTTCCAATCGTAAGTATTAATATTCGACAAAATATGGAATTAGATATTTGTTTAAATTTTGAAGTAAATCGTCTAATGAGGCTTCCAACAAGGTTGTGCTAAACTGGGAAATGTAATATTGCAGGTTTTGTGAAACTGTGTTAAAAATTATCTGAAAATGTAGTAAGTTGATTGATAGAGTTGTAAGTTTTCTGCCAATGTTATATGTTCTCTAAAAACATTGTGGATTGTCCAAAAATATTATAATAGTCTGACAGTTTTGTACATTGTCATTTGAGATTGCCTGAAGATGTAAATTGTCTGTAAATGTTGCAAGTTGTCTAAAAATATTGTAAGTCAAAAGGTTATAGATTGTCTGATAACATTTTAAGTGTTCTGAAAATGTTCCAAGTTGTCTGAAAATGTTCCAAGTTGTCTGAAAATGTTCCAAGTTGTCTGAAAATGTTCCAAGTTGTCTGGCAATGTTCCAAGTTGTCTGGCAATGTTCCAAGTTGTCTGAAAGTGTTTCAAGTTGTCTGAAAGTGTTCCAAGTTGTCTGAAAGTGTTCTAAGTTGCCTGACAACGTTTTAAGTTGTCAGACAATAATTTTAATAGATAAGTTCTTAGTTGTCTAACAATAATCTAAGTTGTCTGACAATGTTCTAAGTTATCTGACAATGTTCTAAGTAGTCTGAAAATTATGTAAGTTGTCTGACAATATTCTAAATAATCTAAAAGTGTTGCAAGTAGTCTGAAAGTGTTGCAAGTAGTCAGAAATAGTTCCAAGATGTCTGAAAGTGCTCTAAATGGCCTGAAAGTAGTGTTTCCAGTTGTCTGAAAGTGTTCCAAGTTTTCTGAAATACTTTGAAGTTGTCTGAAATAGTTCCAAGTTGTCTGAAATAGTTTCAAGTTATCTGAAATTGTTCCAAGTTGTCTAAACGTGCTCAAGTTATCTGAAAATAGTTCCAAGTTGTCTGAAAATGTTGCAAGTGGTGTGAAAGTGTTGTAAGTTTTCTGAAAGTGTTGTAAGTGGTCTGAAAGTGTTGTAAGTTGTCTGAAAGTGTTCCAAATTGTCTGACAATGTCCCAAGTCGTCTGAAAGTGTTGCAAGTCGTCTAAAAGTATTGCAAGTCGTCTAAAAGTGTTGCAAGTCGTCTAAAAGTGTTGCAAATTACCTAAAAATGTTGCAAGTAGTCAGAAATAGTTCCAAATTGTCTGAAATATTTCCTAATTGTCTGAAATAGTTGCAAGTTGTCTGAAAGTGTTTCAAGTTGTTTGAAAGTGTGCCAAGTTATCTGAAAATAGTTCCAAGTTGTCTGAAAATAGTTCCAAGTTGTCTGAAAGTGTTGCAAGTTGTCTGAAAATAATTCCAAGTTGTCTGAACATAGTTCCAAGTTGTCTGAAATTAGTTCCAAGTTGTCTGAAAATAGTTCCAAGTTGTCTGAAAATAGTTCCAAGTTGTCTAAAAATAGTTCCAAGTTGTCTGAAAATAGTTCCAAGTTGTCTGAAAATAGTTCCAAGCTGTCTGAAAGTTTTGCAAGTAGTCTGAAAGTGTTCTAAGTAGTCTGAAATTATTGTAAGTAATCTGAAATTATTGTAAGTAATCTCAAAATGTTGTAAGTAACCGGAAAATGTCGCAAGTAGTCAAAAAATATTGTACATTGTCCAACAATGTTGTAAATTGTCTAAAACTGTAGTTAATTGCCTGAAAATATTCTAAATTGTCCGAAAATGCTCTAAAAAAAATTCTAAAATGTAAAATTTCTGAAAATGTTCTAAATTATCTGAAAATGTTGCCAAGCATCTAAAAATGTAAGCTATCTCAAAATGTATTTGATTGTCTGAAAATGTTGTCAAGCGTCTGAAAGTATTGTAGATTATCTAAAACTGTTATAAATTTTCTGAAAAAGATATAAATCTAACTTGAACTATAGTTGATGCAACTTTTACAATAAATGTTCAGGTACATTCTCCATGCACATTTTTTCTATTTCCTCCTGAACTTAATCCAATTACGAAAATCCTTATTATCTTTCCAACAGAAATCTCAAGCAGCCCAACATAAAATGTCGTCCCAAGCTATCAAAGTTATCAGATCCTACCTGTTCTGGATTGTCTCCCAAAGAACCAAAAAATCTCAACAAAGAACCTTTCAGTATGCAAGCAAGTTCTTCTAACCCTGAAGAATGCCCTTCGAGGAGAGGAAGAAACATGGAACGTGGAAACACAGACCAGCAAAGCAGATTCCAAGACAGAAATAACAGAAGAGGTAAGATCATCAAACTTTGGCAATCTTATTAATTCTTTACATATAATTATTTTTTACCCAAGGTTCGAATAAACTGGATGACCAGCATTGTAGAATCAGCACAAGCGAATGTGACGATATAGAAAAAGGTATCTCAACAGAATCTATTGATGCTGATGTGGATGATATAATTAAAGGCATGCATTTTGCTGCAATCAGTGAAATTGACAATGATGTCGAGATGTTTCATGTGATGGGAAATTTGGAACAGAAGGCCATCAATGGGGATTGTGCAGATGCTAATGAGACTGCTGATGTTAATGTGGTAGTTACACGTAAAGATGACTAGTTGTTAACTAAGTTATAAAAATTTAAATAATGTTTCGGTAGTTTTATTATTTGTTGTAAATGACTGAGTTAATGTATAGACGTTAACCGATTTTTAAATAAATTTATAAATAAATATTTCACTTACCATTGACGGTGTATCACTGGAATTTCTTCCTGAATGAATTCTTAATGTAACATCACTGTTTGCCACAAACTGTCCTGCAAAAACAATTTGTTTATATTATTATACATCTCTTAATTTTCTATATATATAAAAATAACACGGGTTTTCCTTCCTGACGAAATAACTCCAGAACGCACGAACCGATTTCGACAATTTTGCATTCGTTGGAAAGGTCTCCGCAAGGTTTATAGCTAAGAGAATTAGTGGTGCATGGCATCGTGCCTTAATGCAGATTGCTGGGAATTCACGCACCGTAATTAAAAATTCGAGTAATGACATTAGTGAGAATTATCAGAATTATGCTTGGTTAAGTCAACGAGCAATTCTTGCCGCAAAGAATAATGATGTACACGCACTGAATTTCACCATTCAATCAAAAATTGCTGGCGATTTGGTGACATACCAATGATTCCGACTGGTCTTCCGTTTGACTTCAAACGATTGCAATTTCCAGTTCGCCTTGCGTTCGCAATAACAAGTCGCAAGGTCAAGGCCGCTCAGTGTTTGCGGAATAAATTTCAAATAGATTATTTAGAAAATCATTGTTTTTCACATGGGCAGTTATACGTTGCCTGTTCATGAGTTGTAAAACCATCCGCTTTGTTTGTGTTAAGACCAAAAACAAAAAATGTGGTTTACCAAAGAGCACTTCAATGAAACGGATAATTTGCGGATTCACTTTCATTTACTTAAAATTAGAGAAGTTCAACTAAAAAACACTTCATTTTTGTAATCGAAATAAATTCATTACTGTTGTGTAATAAAATCAAATTTTTCCTTTTCAAATATAAAACAAACAAAAAATTTCTTCATCTTTCTCACGAAACTATCTGGTGGCGAAACGGAGTTCGTCGGGTTTGCTAGTTATTTATATAAATTATTAAAATTATTGTTCAAGATCATCCAATACTTAATTTGACAACACTTGGATGAAGATGATAAATTTGACACCAAAGAACTTGGTCAGAATAACTTAATTTGTAATTTACAACAAGTGTGCCAGAATTATATCTATCTAACAAAGACTTATAATCATTTCTGCAAAACATTAGGTGCAATAAAATAAATAACAACAAACTATGTCAACAATTAATTGAATTTCTGACCATTCTATGAATTTAGCTGTTTATTCATTATCCTCGAACCTTTTCTAATGGCCTCAGCATGATTCCTGGCCACTCGATAAATCAGCAAGTACAAGACAATAACAATGCAAGCTGGTATATAGAATGATCCTGTGGCACTGAAGATGACGTATCCCAATTCTTTATTAACATGACAATCTGCTCCTGTGTGATGTCGATGGAAGGACCGAGGAAAGTAGTGACCTGGAAAAAGATAATAAAAACATTAAGGAGGAATAATTTTGCAAACACAATCTACAGAGATATTCATATCATATAGCAAACTGAGGGTTTTTGTTTGCTAATTATTCTCTTGCTATAATTGGTTATGAAAGATCCTTCACTGATACATCTTCTGAATAAATTTTCTTCAAAGTGTATACTTCATTTAAATTGTTCGAGTTTTTTTTATTATTTTTATACTTGGCTCGTTTTACCAATATAAATTGAGTTGCAATCTCAACAATTAATTTAGCAAATCAGATTTCTATATACAAAAATTTACTAACCATCACTTTTATGGTCCTTCCAACCCAAGGGTGGTCCCACAGCAATTAGAAATGATACGAGCCAAATCCCAAGAATCAATAGCCTTGTTTTTTTCTTTGTCACCAGTTTTACATAACTTAGAGGTCTTGATACACCAATGTACCTATAAAAACAAAATAATAAAAAAAATATTTGTAAGCCACATTTAATTCTTCAAGTACATAACATTGTACATAAAATCTAAGACATTGTTTGGCTTTTGGATTTATTGATAGTCAATGCAAATGATAATCTAATCTAAATCTGATTGGTATAACTATTGGTATAACAGAAATTTGGAATATTACTCTATTTTTACCACAGAACTTGCAAATTAAAATTCACACAATTTTATTAGGTCCAAGAAATGGGTCAATCATAATAGAACATTCTCATCATAAAGCTGATGATGGAATGATTTTTAAGACAATTATCCGAATTTTTTTTGGTCTGGCCATTACTTGATTTATTAGATCTGGTCTTTGCAAAAAATAGTTTGCTTTATTATAGTCATTGGAAATGCCAATCTAATCAGAATCTTATAATATTAAAAATTCATAAAAATGTTTAGCACAGGAGAAAGTATAAGCAAAATATAAGGTTAAGGGGCGACCATTAATCACGCAAGATTAATTAGGATATAGCAAGATATTACGAGTATTTATTTTTTACCTAATTGTTTTAAAAAAATCCAAAAATTTTCAAAGAAAAACTAATTACAATTTTTCTCGTGATGTTTGGTGGAGAACGGGGTTAATTTGAATATCACCAAGGGAAAGGGGGGTCCAAAAATCCTTTAAAAAATTATCATATGATTAATAGACGCCCTCTTAGTAGTGGATGTGTTTAAAATCAACTGATGATACCATCAAAACAATAAATAGAACATTGTTATCATGATGCTGATGATGGAATGCTCATCAAGAAAATTGTTTGAATATATTTTATCTTCTTATATATAAAAATGATTCGCAAAATGTGTTGGTAAGCGCATAACTCAACAACGCCTGGACCAATTTGGCCAATTCTTTTGTTAAAATGTTCGTTGAAGTCCAAGGATGGTTCTTACAGGAAGAAAAAATCGAATAATTGCAGGGAAAACCCTAAAAACAGCCCTTTTCTTTATCTCATACATCCTCCTTAACGATTATTCGATTTTGATAAATCTTTCTGAAGTTTGTTAAGGAAATTTTCTAGAATGTATGTGATTATAAAGTACTGGGATGTATGTGCAATATTGTGGAAATAAGTGGAAAAAATGGCAAAAAGCGACATGTCATTGTTTGCATTGAAAATAAATGAAAACTATCATCTGCCAAAAATTTCAATTTCCTTATGAACCTAGACAATATTAGAATATGTATAATAAATTTAAGATTATGAATAAGAAAAATGATATGTCTACATTATTATTGCCGAAAGGCAGCTGAGATGTCCCAAAAATTAAATTAATATAAAATGTATGGCAGATTGAATGATACACATATGAACAGGATTTAACAAATTAATTCACTTAAAATATGAAATTAAGTATTAATCAGGGCCGGTCCTACCTTTAATGCGATGCATGCGAAAAATACGAGCGCACGCCTTAGGGGGCGCCAACACAAGTTTGGGATATTAAATTTTCTTTATATAAATCATTTCTTTACATCTTATACTAATCCTTCCACAATATTTTTAAAATTCGTAAAAATTTCACTTTATAACAACAAATGGGAAAGTAAAGATGAATACATACAATTCGGCCCTCACGATATCGATTAGGAGAAGTTTAAGATGCAATTTTGGACATCTTAAATAATAAAAAATTAAATTAATTCAATCCAACATGAAGTATCAGTGTAATGTTATGGTTATGGTTATGTCATACCGTTTAAAAGACTTCAATTTCCAATATAGTGTGGGAATTAGGACTCATCATTTTATTTAAAGCAGTTATACATTTAACATCGCTGATGTTATAAATGTATATGCGATTTGGCGTGAAGAGTAATTTAAAAACAATAATTATTATTTTCAGGTGAACGGTAAATATTCGTATATCATATTAAAAAATTGTAGACATGAGTACAGAACAACTCTGTCGGGTCATCTTGTACCTAATAATAATATTAAAGTAGTCCATAACATACCTGTCGACAGCAACTGCACACAAAGAAATAATACTGGCAGTACAACTGAGAACATCCAGAGTTGTCCAGAAACTGCACAAGACTTCCCCCATGTACCTAAACAAACCATAATAAAAAATCCTTCCTGAACCAGTTTCATTGTAGTTTTTTCCTACTTACCAATCTTTAGCAATTTCTCTAGCACAAGACAAGGGCAAAACAAAAAGCCCCAGAACTAAATCAGCTAAAGCAATACTGGCAATTAAATAATGCGAAGGAGGAGGCTTGTAGGTGCTTTCTTGAGGACACAATTTGCAAAAACTTCTACAACTACCTTGAAACACCGACAGGACCACCAGGGCGTTCCCGAAGACTGTTGCCAAAACCAAGCAACACAAACCTAGAAAAAAATCAAAGACAAATTAACATACAAGTAGTGACCATTTACCAGTCTATTACCTTACCGATTATTTCCAGGATAATAAATGGATTTTCCTGGATCCTTTTTTCGACGGATTCACGAAAACCGATATCAGGCAGTGTTGATAGATTTTGGATGAGTTCACAATTTATTTTATTATAAAAACAAGCACTGGTGTTTAGGAATAAATTATATTGTTTATTGGATTCGATAAAAGCACTTTCGTTGAAGAATAAAAAGGTGTTGTTGTTGTTGAAATACACCCTGTCATCTTTGTAAAAATAGAATGGAACTTAAATCGAGAAATGTCCTTTTTATGAGCAAATTCTGAGAATATATAATAATATAATATAATTTAACGCTTATAATATTTTAAATTTGATATAAAAGTTAAGTTATATTGTAAGAACACCATATAAAGATTATTATGGATGATTTTACAAAATTGACACAATTACAATATTAAGTAATTTTACACATTTTGTTGTTGTTTTGCAATTTATAAAAAAATATTAAAACTGATAGAATGGTTGTAGGAGTAATAAATCTTTTAAAGAAGTTTGTGAGTCTAAATAAAAATTAAAATATTTTTAAATTATTTGTTGCTGTCAATCTATTTAAATATAATTGTATAAGCACAATATTTTTGATGCGAGAAATAAGATCTTTAAGGAGAGCAACTATGTACTTAGATACTTTTTAACATGTAAATATAAAAAAATGAGTTTTTTTTTTGATAATTTTGAAGAAACGGCTAGTCTGATCGTCTATCAAATTTAATCAACAAAACTTCTTATGCAGTTTCATCCAATAACATTAAAATTTTTGAAGTTAGTTAAGCCGTTTTTGAAAAAAAAGTCGACAGAAGTTAAAATTTTGATTCCCACACGCATACTTTTTCGTCGACAAACGATTCAGAATGACTTGAGACGTTGAAAAACATAATTATAAAATTAGCAAATTATAGTCATTAGTAGATGAATCAAAATTAGAAAACAGACTTCTTGCAAAAGTTGAAAATAATGAGTAATGGAAAATTTTTAAACATAAAAAAATAATGTCCCTTTTCAATAAACTCCTGCAAACGTAATATTAGTTCTAGAATATTATAAATTAATTATATAACACCTTTAACAATATAGTTTGATTCAAAACTAGTACGTTTATAAAATTCGTGTAAATATAAAACTTCGAAAAACATAGACGTCCTTGATAACAAAATCATACATTCTTGTACGGAATACTCACAATTAATAAACATATATTGTAATAAAATAATAAATAACACATTAACTACTAATTTAACAAAAAATTCACACTAATGTAACTATTACTGAACTATTTTTAAAATAACTTTAAAGTATTAAAAACAGCAAACGCATAAAATTAATAAAATTTGAGACATTATATTTGTTTACATTTTTTTACTAAAACATCAATTATTATGAATTTTTAAATTTATGTTGCATTATGATTTATTAATAATTTTGTTTAATTCACTTTAGGAAATTAGTTATGTAATTTAATTTTATATTAATATTTATAAACGTTTGGTTAATGAAGCTAAATGAAATGTATATCATTAATTTTGTTGAACAATTTGTTACTAGAACAACTTTATAACTCATTTGTCATCACTTCATTATAAGAAATTTTTAAATTTATTTCGGACTATAATTTATGTTACTACTTCATTATACTATAACATTATTTAAAATACTATTACTTATGTAATTTTATTTATTTTGATGATGTATTTCCGACCGACGACAAAGTCTTTATGATTCCAGGACGAATAACAGAATTCGAATGAACCTTACAGGTTGCAAAAATTATACATTTTTTGCGCACATTTTATGCGCAATTATATAAATACAGTAGAACCCTATAAGACGATCGTACTTGATACAACTTCTCGCTTAATACGCTAATTTTTGCCTGCCCTTGTAATTTGTATATATATATATATATCTTATATATAAAATTCTTCTGTAATGATGTATGTAAATATACTCCTTCTAAACGATTATTCGGATTTTGATAAATCTTTCTGAAGTTTGTTAAGGGATTTTTTTAGGATGTATGTGATTATAGAAATATAGCTAGATTGTAGAAATAAATGGAAAAATTGCAAACAACGACATGTCGACATTGAAAATATTTGAGGAATTGTTTGGCATTGAAAACAAATGAAAACTTCCACTTGCCAAACATTTCAATTTACTTATGAGTCTAGACAATATTAGAAAAAAGTGAAATATCTACATTATTATTGCCAAAAAGCAGTTGAGATGTGCCAGAAATTAAAATAATATAAAATACAGTATATGTATGGCAGATTGAATGATACACATAGGAACAGGATTTGACAAATTAATTCACTCAAAATATTAGGTTGTCAAATATCTCCCTTCCGCCTTTTTGTATTATAAACCAATAGCAAAAAAGCGGAAGGGAGATATTTGACAACCTAATATATGAAATTAAGTAATAATCAGGGCCAGTCGCGCACGCGTTAGGGGGCGCCAATACAAGATTAGGATATGAAATTTTCAATATAGTTTTTTTTTTTCAATATAATTCAAGATAGAAAAAAATGGCATGCGGGCGCTGAGAATCCCAGGAGCGTCCCTGGTGATAATGTATATTAAATTATGACTAAGAAAAATGTAATTTAGATATTATAATTGAAGAGTAATTTAAAAAACAATAATTATTATTTTTAGGTAAATAGTAAATATTAGTATAGGATATTAAAAAATTGTAGACGTGGGTACAGGACAATATATATTGTCCCTATACTGCATAACACGCTTTCTCGCATAATACGCGTTAACTATGTAACTGTTCAAAAGGCAACCCATTGGTTGGCCTATCCCTAATTATTTTCATACTAGTAACAGCAATCAAAACTTAAAACATATGAGCAATGGCTTTAGAGTTGGCAACCCAATGGTTGACTAGTTAATTATTGTTTATAATAATTGTTTATAATCAATATTGCTTTAATTATTTTTATGATATTCATATCAACACTATTTATATCATTCATATAATAAAATAAATTATCAATTATTATCGATTACCAAGAATGATCGTTTGTTTTTCAAGTTTTCCTAAAAATATTATTAGTGTCGAATTATTATTAATATAATGATTGTGTTGATTTATTATTTCACTTCGGAAATTATCATGAATCGTTTTTATTGATAAAACTTTTAATCTATTGTGTATGAATAGGCATTCCGTACGAACACATCGACGGGCGCAGCCGGACAGGGCCGAACGAGGGAAATAATAAATTAGGTGTAGGTGGCGGAAGATCAAAAATCGGCACACACACGCATACACACACACATAATTTGTCTAAATTTGATGCCATTCGATTCAGAATGACTTGAAACGTCGAGAATAAATAAAATAAGCAAATCGGGTGTGTTTTTGGCTAAAACCTATATTTATTTTTTGACAAGTTAATTAGGTGTAAGTGGCAATTTGTCTTAATTTATTCTTATTCAATATTTTTTCAAATTATGATAAAGCAAATCCAAAACCTAATAAGCCTTGGGTTAATTTGGGCGTTGAATTATTAAGTCAGTAAGGCAGCGGTTTCCAAACTGTGGGACGCGTCCTCTCAAAGGGGTGCCAAAATGTTTTAAGGAGTATTTATCTGTTTCCACTATTTTTGAAACTACGATTTTTAAAAATATTGAAAATTTTTATAATAAATTTAAAAAATAAACAAAAAATAATTAGTTTTTATGCATATCGTTACATAATATTGCATATTAATTTGTAGTCAGATAATATCAGTTTTTTGAATATATATAAAATTAAATTGTTGCAAAAAAATAAAGGGGGCGCAACAATTTTTTTTTTTATTAGAGCAGGGGACGCAGTACAAAAAAAGTTCGGAAAACACTGCAGTAAGGTTAGTTTAGTTTGGTCGTTAAATTACTACGTCAACAAAGTTAAGTTTTGGGAAACTAGTTTTTAGAAAATTATTAAGTCAATAAGGTTAGTTTTTAGTAACTAGTTTCTAAAAAAAAATACTAAGTCAGTAGGGTGAGTTTTTTGCACCTGGATTTTTGATAATTACAAAGTCAGTAAGGTTAGTTTTTGAGAAACTTGTTTTTTTTTTCAAGTTAATAGTAAGGTTAGTTTTTTGAAACTAGTTTTTAGAAAATTATTAAGTCAGTAAAGTTGGTATTTGGAAAACTAGTTTTTAGAAAAGTACAGTTTTTAGAAAATTACTAAATCAGTAAAGTTAGTTTTTGGGTAACTACTACATCAGTTTTTAGTTTTTAGACAATTACTACATCAGTAAGGTTTGTTTTTTGAAACTAGTTTACTATACAAATGTTTCGCACGTGTACTTATATACATAAAGAGTTTTGCATAATTTATATAAACAAAAGTACAAGAAAGATTCAAAAATTTTACATCAAAGATTGTTGGCTATATTAAAACACAAAACATCTTACCTCGTATCAAATATTTGACTACCACAATTGACTTCAAAGTTTTCTTTCACTTGCATATAAATCTAATAATTATAAAAGTATTTTCACAATTTATGTATAAATTAAGCGTTAAATAGCACAAGGTTTGTTCAAATAAAAATTTAACAACTTGAATTATTGTAACTGAAACGTCAAATTTAAATACAAAATGGCTGGTTGTTGAACAAAAAGCCAACAGTACACATAAATATTTTAGATGCAAAAATTTCAATATTTCTAAACTTTTATATACATATATCAAACACCAATACGTTTTCATATATGTTTATAATCAATAAAACTACTTTATCAACGTGTTTAATGTAAATTTGACAAAATTCTTACCTTTAGTTGAAGCATCCCAGAAAGTCTTTCAAAATTGCACTCACTACACAATTTGTATTAATAATTACGACAAATTATTAAATAACACTAAAAGTTAATAATTAACAATATACACGTCCACAATCACTGTATTATTATTAAAAATAAAAAATTCAACTTTCACAAACTATGTACATCCGACATTTTGATTTTAAAGCGTCAGTTCAGTTTTAAACAATCTTCGCAGTTGTGTTCGCGCAGGTGTACCAGCATTAGCTTGTATCTGCAAATATAGTTAATCAATTTTATTAATTTATATTCATAAATAAAGTAAAAGTATATAAATAATAAACTATAAAAACATATTTACTATCAAATAATATACACAGGATTAAAAATAATAAAATTTTCGAGTCAAAAATATTTATTTGCGTTGTTGGCGTTT